AATAATAATAATAATAATAATAATAATAATAATAATAATAATAATAATATAGTTATGAGAAGTCTGTCTAAGTGTTGAAGACACAAGTGTTGTTTCTGGACTCGGCCCCAGTTTGGTGGTATGCAGCTAGGAGGGGGTGGGCCGACAGTTGCTGCATATGGAGGGCACACTGACAGCAATATCAAGGACAGAGGCCACTGGCATAAAGCTTTTGTCACCCTCAAATCCCACTTCTGCTCTCAGTGCCACTAATGTGGTGTAGGGCAGCGGTGAAAACAACTTTAGCATATTTATTTAAGGGGTGTACTAAAATGCATTTTGGGATTCCATGGACTATGCTTTACAGTTTGGGAACACCTGGAGTAAAATATAATTGTATATAAAGTAGTATAGCTTCACCTCAACTGGTGATATTAGTAAAATAACATCAGCAGTCTAGAGTTCAAGTAGCATATAGGTAAAGTGAGATCTTCTCCCATTGCTGTTGTTGACGCATTCACCTGATAGATGAATGGATTAAGGGTCACAATTCATTAGCGCAAAAGAACAAGAAATAAAAAATGAAAATAACCCATAATTTCACTAATGATTACTAAACACGTGTAATGAATGTCATCCAGAGAGACATATCACATATGATTGACCCAACCCCCACCTCTTCCTCGCCCCCCTTCATATAACTCAAACGTGAGCTATTAAGCATTTCATAACACACGCAGGTTGAAGTGAACTCCACAAAGCTGATAAATTTAGGTAGCTATTTAAAATGGGGACGCTGCTCATGCAAGCAAGTTGAGATCAGTTTCTTACACTGGCCACATTAAAACAACAGGTGCTAAATCATGAGCACCATTAATCAAAGTCTTGAACGGTCCATGCGAAGACTTTTTTCGAGCCTAATTTTCACCCTCACACCTCAAATGTTGATGTAGAACAGAGGGGATCGAAACCCAATACGTGAACCGCACTGACAAGAACCATTTCACAGGGAAAGGTAAGCTGAACAAACCCTCACTCTACATTAATATAGTAGCATTTTATACTGTACAGATAATACAACACTGTGCTGTGTAGAATATAATATTTGCACTATAATACTGTCAGTGGTTTGACTGTTATTGTTTTAGCAATGTAAACTGTTTGTTGATTTACATCAATATCCAGTATTTAATCATCCAAATGCTACTGTCATAGCAAAATTTTTTCTTTTTGTAATTTCTTACCTAAATTAATGGCTTGAGCTAAACGTTTCCATTTCTATGACTGTTTGTGCTCACCAGTGTGGAACTGGAGATAACTAAAGCAATGGCTTGGTCAGGTTTCCAAAATATTTTAACCATACTTTGTGTTTCTTGTGTCATAAATGAAGTTGTGGGACCTGATTTGTCAGTGAGTTATGGTTAAAGTCAAGCAACAGAGTGAGATCCACGATTGCCCTAAGTGGAAATGGGGCAGAAATTATACTATATTACACTGTAAGAGTACACAGTAGTTTGCTGTTAATATGGCATCTGCATTTTTTTTGCAGTTTAGCAGTATTTGCAAAGAACAATGCATCACTTTACCAGTGCATTACTGTCATTTCTACAGGCTGTTCCACTCTGGTTATAATACAATAAATGACATGAATTAAAATGCAATCTAACAAATCTCCACGCAACTGCACCACAAGTTTTTATGCTCCATAGGAAAACAACTTAATCTAAAATCAACAACTTGAAAATGGTAGGCAAAATACATAAAGTGATGAGGTGAGATGTGCAGCTCTTTTTTTTATATAAAACATTACAACATGCTGCTCTTATTTGTACAATCATTTACTAAAATAAATGTGGCACAACCACAACATCACTCTCACACAAAATCCATTTTAAACATGAGAATTCGTGTGATGTATATTGCTCGTATTTAACACAAACTGGTACACAACATGCTGTCGTGACATGTTTATGTTTTAGGTACCATGCGGCCGTACTGGTGACCTTCTGACACTCACTGCTGAGCCCTCTGCAGCTTCTAAGTGGGAACAGGAGAAGTCAGAGAGCCTGAACACCTGCTGTGAAGCAGTCACCAGCCAGACACCGCACTTTTCTAGGTTAAGTTCCCTATCCTTCAAAGGTTTCATGGTTCAAAGGTTAAAAGGTCACCTTTGGATTTGCAAGTGTTGTATGGAAGTTAGTTTAGAGGATGTTATGGATTAGAGAGTTACCCTAAACCAGTGATATTGACTATTTACTTAAAGAGGAAAAGTGATCACTCTGACAGTGTCATTGCCGGTGAATAGGTTGGATGAGTGTGTTTACCAGTATCCAAATAACTAAATATAACTCCCAGATCTCAGGTGAATGATAGACTTCCCTTCACATATAGATTATAGCAGGTAAAGGTCATACTGGGTTTATTATCAAAATATGGCCTACCTTAATTTAGCAGTTAAGAAAAAACTTGTAAGGGTTTCCTTCCTCATTATAGTGACATCACTTACATGCATCCTCTCTCTTCTACACTTCATTCAAGACTCTGAGTATCACAGTTCTTTATGTAACTCATTGTTCAGTACAAGTCACTAAGTGACTTCTTAATTGGTTTGCTGGCCCTCTTGAAATCTAAAGAAACAACAGCAGTGGTACATCACTTTTATTTACAAAGTCTTACTGGGTAAATTACATTTGCTTCATTTCTCCCATCTTTGTTTTGTATTTTATGTGAATTTGTAACGGTGTACTTTCTTGGCCAGGTCTCCCACAAAAGAGATTTGACTCTCAAAGGAGGAAAAGAAAAGAAAAGAAAAGAAAAGAAAAGAAAAGAAAAGAAAAGAAAAGAAAAGAAAAGAAAAGAAAAGAAAAGAAAAGAAAAAATATCACAATTGGGAAAGTGACATATTTATGTAAAAATGAAAAAAAGTTGATCACAAAACATATTTTAAAAAACAAACTTTGCAACATGTATCACCAACTTCCAATTAAAGTGCTTTATTATAAAGGCATAACAACAGAAAACAAGCTATTCGGTTATTTCTACTAATGTTATCAATAAAACCGAGGTTGAAAAATGGTAATTTTTATGTATAAATTTTTTTTATGTATTGTTATGTATATTCAGTAATGTATTGTAATAACATTATTAACATCAAAGGTATTTTTTATACTTGTTTTAGTATTTAATAGGTTAAAAAAATGTTGGCAGTAGTTATATACTGACATACTTTTTTTATTAGTAGACATTATGAAGTGGCACTAATTTTCTTTACAAAATGTTTTTGATTGTAAGATTATATGTCAGTAGAGAGAAAACAACACAAAACAAATCCCACTTTAACAGGACTATCTCTGCTGTCTCTCAATACGTGCATTTATTACTTTGTCCCACTTTGTTCTCTTCAGGATCAAAATCTGTTCACTCCCCTGAAGTGGCATTTTTGCCTGACATGAGTCAAAAGAGAAAAAGTTATCCATTTCTGTGATCTCTTTGTGTCTGTCAGAAAATGTTTCATCCTTCATCTGACACAACCAGTTACATGCCTGTGAACGAGGATAAAAGAAGACAAAGCTGTTTTTAACAGTTCATTTGTTTTTAACAGTGATTCTTTTGGATAAGTCATTACGTGCCAGCACTTTAAGTTACCAAATGGAAAAAAAAAAGTGCAATTTGTTGTATTCAAGTTGCAGAGATATCCAAAATATGAACAAATAATGATGTTTTTAGTATGCTGGGGTTCCCAAAACTCAGACACCCCTTCATGTTTGTGTAGATTAAAACACACGTAAAAATAAATGAAATATAAAAATGCATCTCTCAACTTGTATTTCCAGTTCTCTAATTCCATCTTAATCATTGTTTAGATTAAATAACTAAGAGATGTTTGCTCTGTATCATCTGGTGGTCCTGAGTGTTTAGGAGTACTCTAGCCTAAAAACGGCAATGCAAGAGTCAGAGCTGTCGTGAATTATGCCAGCAATGGCAGACATGTACGGTTGCCCCCTTCTGGCAATGGCTATTCGGTTTCACTCATGCTGCCAGACTGCTGGGCTACCAGCAAAGGTCGGCACCTTGTTAGGACCTGGTGGGACAACTTACAGCCCTATTGTTGTGCTCCTTTTCATGAATAATGATACAAACCTGCGTCTGAAAAAACTTTTGAAGAGCAGTGTCTATAATAAAAATCATAATGAATTGTTATAAGTAGCAGCATACGATGGACAATCTTGGTTTATGTCTCTTAATGTAATGATGTGATAACTGTTATTGACTACTTCATTAAATGCAGTGTTGTCAAAACGTATTTGTCACCCTTGCATGTTTCAGATCATCACACATTTAATATCAGACAAAGAATGCAATTTTGAAATTACGATTTCATTTATTAAAGTAAAAAAGCAATATGTGACGAGGCAATTATCCCCTAAACCTAATAACTGGTATAATAAGCCTACAATCAGTTTAACTGTATGTTAAATGTATTTAACTATACATTTAACAATTAAAGCATTAGAGTATCTTTAATTAGAGGACAGCAGATATTTACTCACCAGTCATTTAATTAGGTACACCTTGGATGAAGTCTTCTGGTCATAGATTCAACATGGTGCTTTAAACATTCTGCAGATATTTTGTTCCATATTGACCTGATTGCATCACACTACCACCACATCCAACAGCTGCTTTACTGGATTGAGATCTGGTGACTTTGAACTCATTCTTATGTTTAGCAAACCAAGTTTAGATGATCTGAGCTTTATAACATGACATGTTATCCTGCTGAAAGCAGCCATCAGAAGATGGACATGGTCAGCAACACTATCAAACGAGGTGATTTTTTTTTTCCGTCTTGTGTTTCCCAGTTTTGGTGATGCAGTGTAACTTGTAGCCTCAGCATGTGGCGTGTTCATCTGCTTCAGGGCTTGAAGTCTTCTGTCTTCAGAAATGCTTTTCTTCATACCTTGGTTGTAATGAGTTGTTCAAAGGCTCTCAAATCACCTTTCTTCCCCATTCTGATGTTTGTTTTGAACCTCAGCAGGTCATCTTGACCACGTTTGCATACCTAAATGCATTGAGCTGCTGCTGATTAGATATTTGTGTTAAGGAGCAGAAGAACAGGTGTACCTAATAAAATGTGTATATTTTAAATCAGATGGTTGTAAAGAAAAAATGAGGAGAAGAATATGAAATAGGAAATAAAGATTCAGGGCAATCACAGTTCTCAGAAATTCTCAAAACCTTCTGTTAAAAAACTCATTTTGAAAACTTTGAAGTCATTTTCACTCAAGACAGAAACAAGAATGAATGAACAAACTTTACAAACCTGATACTGTGTTAGTTTTTACTTCACCAACCCAAATAATTAGTGCAGCAAGAGTCCTGACAGGGACTAGAAAGAGAGAGCATATTTCTCCTGTATTGGCTTCCCTTCATTGGCTTCCTGTTAAATCCAGAATTGAATTCAAAATCCTGCTCCTCACATACAAGGTCTTAAATAATCAGGCCCCATCTTAT